ATGAGGAAACTGGGGCACAAAGCCCTTTGTCTTACAAACCTTTTATCTGATGCTTAAATCTTATAAGAAGACATGAAGCGAGGATTCTAGGACAGGGATAACAAGAGAGCCTCTCTCCTGTCGCGGGTGCCCACTGTGAAAATGTGCAGGGAAACGGATTGCCAAGGAGATCCTGTTCATGTTTATGTAGACATTTGAGGTATGTTGCTTTGATGAGAGTATTTCTGTTGAATTATAATTTACAAATTTCCATCTCAACGTATGTTGAAAATGTAAATAAATATCAGCTACAGAAGCAGCAGTGCTCAGAGGTCTCATCTGTTTAATTTGGAGCCGGAGGGGTTTCCTGCAGAGCACAGGAGACCTCCCTCTCTGTGGTGGTGTCAGGGGACAGTGAACCTCTGGATAACCCCAGGCCTGGGGCTAAGCCAGATTTCTGTCTGGCATGTTCAGTCCTCACAGTACGCAAATAATATTTTATGAAAACCACAGCAAAAGTTCCTCTGATCTTCTTGTTGACAGAGATTTCAAAAGTCCTGAATCTTCTGAAATCTGTTTCCTCTCATAAATCCTGTTACCAAGGGACAAGGATTAGGGTTATATGTGGAGCTTCATCCTATAGAGTGACCTCTGTTGGGCAGCAAGTGTCTTCTGTATACTGTTACAGCATTTGTGTAGAGCTTACACAGGGCCTTCTGTAAACTAAATTCTGTGAAGTGATTTACAAGACCCCATACAACATAAATACTGTGTAAATAGCTGTTACACTTCATTGTTGAGGGTAACAAGAAAGCAAGAGTAAACAAGAAAAAAAGTAACAAGAAAAAGGGTCTATAAATGTTCAGCACAGATGCAATTTTAGGAATACTTTTGATCCATGGTTGGTTAAGTTGGTTGGGTGTATGATCCGCGAAGTATGCAAAAGAGAATTCCATAGCAAGTTACAGTATTTCATGTGCATTTGGAACATAGAATTGGAAGAGCCATGCTATAAATCCTCTAGGAGCTCTTCTTAGGGCGTAAGTAGGACTCTCAAGGAAGAGCCTTGAGGCACGTAGGAGGCCAGAACCTCAGAAGAGACAATGATGAGAGCAGAGGGTGGAAATCTGTCAGTTGGTTCCTGTGTGGATTTTCCCCTCGTGGAAGATGTTGCCTAATTTCTTTGAGGGCTTTTGAATAGTGGTTTGGGATCATCTTAAGTGTTAGATTTCAGTGATGACTTTGCCTTTTCCAGATACATGGTATTAGTAGGTTCCAGTGAAATCTTCCTGGAGAAGCTATAGGAAGCTCCTCCACTGTGATGCTGGTGGTGTGTCCTACTCCAGAACCCACAGGAGGGCCAAGCCAGCCCCTCTTCCCAACTTAAAGGCACATGCCACCTTCTGGGAAGAGTGCTGGTGACAATTAATGGGAGCTCATTTCCTAAGGCTCCCCTTTCTTGCTGAGGTCACAGCCTTGTAAATGTGAGAGGGTCATGGCCCGGTCACTGGGCAGTCTGCAGCCTCTGGCTGTCCATCAAGTGAGTGGCCGTGCCTTTTCACATTGGCTGTCTCTCTTGCCCCCTAACTTGGGCTTTTGAATGTCACACTCGTTTTTCCTGTTCTTTGAACTATGTGGTTGAAATGTGCTGAGGGCTTTTCTCTGGATTATGATTAACTTTCAGCTTTATTTACATTCCAGAGCTAGTTGTTATTAATATCGCTTGTGGCATCTTACATTCCTCTTTGTTTATCCCTGCTCTGAAGTCCCTCTTCCCCCCTTCTATGATTCCTTACCAGATTAATTAAGTCAACAGACTCTGAACAGTGCCCTTTTTAGGTGAGGAGCTAAAGCTACTGTCGTCAGCATAACAAACAGAGCCCATTGGCCAGGGAGGAGGGGCTAAGGAGAACCTGGATTTTCAGTGTTCTACTTACACAAAGGTCATGGCATACTGTTGTGGGACATTTGATAGATCTCCAGGAGCAGCATTTGGACTGAATTTGAGATGGGAAAACAAGAAGTCTTTGAGGATAAAAAAGCTCCAGTTTATAAAGCAGCTCATCTCTTCACTCAGCTAACTCATGCCTGGTCCTAGAGACCCAGGCCAGGGCTCAAATGAGGGATGGGGTATTTGTTTCTGGGCCCACTGAGAGGTAGTGAAGTGGGATCCTGTAGGCTCAGGACTGTACTTTCAAGAGCTCCTTGGGCAGGGGTGGGGGAGAGTGCTGCCCTTCCTGTACTCATAGCTATATGGAGATAGAAAGAAGTGCGTTACGCTGTGCTCAGTAAACTTGTTGGCTGCTGACTTGAACTTGTTAACAAAGCAGCAAAATCACTGAGGTAGCAGCATAGATGGCCAGGGGTCAGAAGGATTTTCTTCTAGCAAGGGACAGTAGACCTGTTAGTGTTGATCCTTGGTAAAGAGAGCCTATGGATAGAGTGATGGGAAAGGAGAGAAGCTTGGGGTTGTTTCTCATTAGAGGTCTGGGAAATACCAGGCAGTCACTCAATGCACTTTCCCTTCCTACTCTTAATGCACTCGTTTGTCTTTCCCTGCTGAAAAAATGGTAAAAATGAGGCTGACTGATTAGTTCTGTGTTCACTTGAGCATGCACTGTCTGAGGAATGAAGGGAGGTCCCATTTTCAAGAGCAGAAATTCTCCTCTTCTGTAATGTAGATCGGTAAAAGCTTCTGGTCTTATCACTTCGAGTTTGCTGGTGTTACACTCAGCTCTAGAAGTCTATTGAAGGTTTGACTTGGACTTTGAGGCTGTCTGCTCTAGGTTATCAGTAGATGTGCAGACACATTTGAGAAAGAGATTCTGTGCCTATCTCTGATTGACCTTCTTCCACATTCTCCAATAGTCATGGAAGTTTTTCTGCTATGTGCAGAAACTGACCCTAATCAGTTTTCTGTTACTGTAACAAACACTGGACTTACTCCACGTTAAAACAGGAAAGATTTATTTGGGCTTACAGTGTTGGAAGGATTTAGTCCATGGTAGTTGGCCCTGTTGCTTTTGGGCCTGTGGCAAGGCAGCATATCATGGAGAGAGCATGGTAGAGTAAAACTATTCAGTTCATAGCAGGGAAAGGAAATGAAGAAAGGGAAGGGATGAACTTCCTCCTTCCCCTTTCAGAGCATGCTCGGTTGATCTTAAGATTTCCTACGAAGCACCCCCCCCCGACCCCCCACACAATGGTTCCACATTCTAGAAACAGCACTATGGGTTGGGGACCAAGCATGGTCCTTTAAGATCCAAAGTGTAGTACCCAGCCTCATGCTGGTCATCTCTATAAGCTGGACCAAAACAGAGTGGCCTAAGGGTCATAAGATTTTATAAGATTTGATTTTTTAAGCTATCTTGTAAACCCACAGTTCACATAATTGGAATTTTGTTCACTTTTTGTTTGTCAACTTGGGATAACTTGGCGGGGCGAACGGTGAATAACAGTCATGAGATTTTGCTGTTATTTGGGCAGAGCCTTTCAATAGAGTTTGCATATTGATACTCTCAACCATGGAAAGAAGCTTTGTATTTTCTTAGTTCTCTTGAATAAAGGCTTCCCTTTTCACATTGACTTCTATTCTTAAATCAAGTCAGTATTTTGGTCTTAGTTTTTAAAAGGCATATAAAAAGTTGCATCATCTTCATCAGAGTGGAGCATGTAGATACTGCCATTCCTTTTCTGTCATTGTGACAGTATACCTGATACAAGGTAATGTATGAAGAACAGAGGAGTTTTAATGCACGGTTCTGAAGGCCCAAGAGCATCACACTAATTGTGGCTTTTGGTGAGGGCTGTCTAGTAAGTTAGCATCATATACTAGGAGTTATACAAGAGTATGAGAGAGAGGATGAGAAATGGACACAGAAATCACATGTAAAACAGGAAGAAAGACCTAGGAATGGTCAGTCTCACTTTTTATAGCAGTCCCCTCTCCCTTCTATTAGTCTAGTCCCATAAGAGATAAACTTTCTTCTGGTACAGTGTAATGACCTTCTACTAGTCCCTTCCTCTTAAAGGTTTTACAACCCTCGATGTTGCCATAGAGAACCAGGCTACTGAATGCTTAGGAGGTGAAATGCAGCACAGGGATTGATGAAGCAGCTCCACATTGACTCTGTATGGGTACAACAGCCTCATCCTTAGTTCTCGTATTCCCATGACTGGTAAAAGGAGGGGGCAACAGCTAGCCCAAGTTGGGAAGATGGGAACCATCGGAGAGCTGGGAGATCAGACAGAGCTTCCCGTAGGTGCTTGCCCAGATGAACAAGAGGATTCATTTTGGCAGTCTCACCTTCTGATCCCTTAGTCTTCAGCTCTGCCAAGAACATTGGAGTGGAATGGCATGGCACAGACTTTGTCTGGAAGATTGGCGTTCTTGTATATGTTTATTTGCCATTATTTAAAGAGAAGCTGATCTCTACAGGCCTGTGCTATGTACAGTCCATGTCTGACCTGGGTAGTAATGTTCAAGTCAGTGCCCGTGCAAGAGAGGAGCTGTGCAGAGTTGTTGTGCCATGCACAGCTTTAAATCCATCCTCCCTAACCATCACCTCAGGGTCTGGTTTCAGTATATGAGAAAAGGCTCCGGTCTCCCATAGTTCTGTTTCTTCTTTCCTACTTTGCTCCATAAGCTAAAAACATTTACTTTAGATAGTCATATTTAATTCTGGATCTAAAAAAATCAATCTTCTTTCTCACATGAATGCTTTGTCTGGGCCAGACACATCAGAAAACCATCAACTCCATGATCACATTGATTTTACTTACAGGAAAACAGACTCCAATTACTGTTTCACCATGTGTTCTTTCCAGATAATTAGACTTTCTATTTCTGTTTAAAGTTCTTTTAATTGCAAATGTAAGTTTCTATAAAGAGCAATATGTTAGCAACTAGAATTTCAATGGTATATAAACTCACACTTTTATTTTACAGCCCCTAAGAGTTTAGAATTATTTTCTGCCTTTTTTTTTTCTTGGAAATAATGTTTCCTTTCTGCCTCCTTTAGTTGATCAAATATACCATCTGGCTTCTCCAGCCTCCCCTCCAAACTACATGTACAATCCCATCAAGACCCTGAAAACCAATACAATTGGGACATTAAATATGTTGGGTAAGTGTTGTTTTCTTTCATTTCTTTGTTGGTATTGAGGCTTTAACTTAATGTCTGTATTCTCCATTGACTTTTCACTGAGGGCTGGAACTCTACCACTTGAGCCACAGCTCTACTTCTGTTTTTTGTTTTGTTTTGTTTTGTTTTTCCTGGTTAATTGGAGCTAAGAGTCTTAAGGACTTTTCCTGCTCTAACTGTCTTCAAACCTTCATCCTCAGATGTCAACTTCCATATAGATAGGATTACAGCCATCAGCACATGACTAGGTGTTCTTTTCTTATGTTGCTACCCTTTAAGTGTTTTAAGCAGTTCCAAACACAGGTAGGGTGATTTCCCCTTGGGCACAGGGGTCTATTTCCTCAAACCTCAGACTATACCAAGTGTAATATAACACCTTTTCTATCTTCACTGAACCCTTACTATGCACCTGGCTGTTTCTTCTGCAGCTTGAGGTGCAACAGCAAAACTGGCATACATTTCTTCCTTTTTTTTTTTTTTTTTTGTCTTGACAATCTCCCATATGAAGATTAGATTAGTTCTTTCTGAGGCTCTTCATAATCTCAGCTTATTTTTCTTCCTTAACTTGAATCATCTTTCCACTTGAAGAAAATGCTTGATGACTTTTTGTTTGTCCTGTCTGAATCACCAGCATCACTACTTTGGGCATTGTGGTACCCTGTCTGTCAGTCATCAGGATGGCTACTGAGTTGACAAATGGGTGGGTAGCATATACAGTAAGATTATACTAGGCAAAGACTTGATTTCACATCTTAGGCAAGATGGACTGAAACAGCACAAGAGTTCATGCTATTCAATAAAGTATGCACTTGAATACTTTCAAATTTTTCTGGGATTTTTCTATTTAACATTTTCCAATTGAGATTGACCATAGCTAGTTGAAACTTGCTAAAGGGAACTCCTGTAATGAGTTATCCTGTTAGCGTGTTACCACAGTCTCTGCCATAAAACACTGGTGATGCACCCACTATGCAGACTTCTGTGGGGTGAAGCAAGTGATACCTGTGATGCTATCCTGAGTATTCCATCTGGTACCCACCCCCTTCCTTGAGGATCCGTTTAGCAACTCTTCTCTCATCCTAGCTGTTCATGTTCCAGACTCCCTGCTTCCTTCCCCAGATAGTTACTCGTACTCCTGAGTCCTTCCCCCCATTCCCACTCTTCACCCTAATTCCTGGCCTCCTCCCCCATGACTGCCCTTTGGTGATGGAAGCAGCTGGGTGTCTTCCTCCTGGCAGGGTGAATGCTAACCAGAGTCCAGCACAGGTTTAAGTGAAGGTCATGGGTATCTCAGTCTACCAATGACCTCTATCTTTTGGGAATGTGGGAAAGTTTCAAGGACTCTCTGGTTGATTGACCTACCACAAATAGTACTCGTCTGAGGTGCTCTCAAGTGCAGGAAAGAGATTTGAGAGGATGGAGGAGGGCACAGCTGCTTTGGGAAGGTGCTGTGCATGGGGAAGCTGGAGGGCAGCTGGAGGGTGTACTCAGAGTTACCCAGACAGTGGCAGAAGATCTCAGGGCCTTCTGAATGCAGTCCGTGGTCCATTTCAGAAAGTAAGGTGAGAAGGGCCTTCTGCCTACTTAAATAAAGTCAAAAAGTAAGGGGCACACATTTGCAAGGAAATGGAAAGACTTGGAAAAAATTATAGTAAGCAAAGGAAACCAGAGCCAAAGAAACATAGCTGCATGATTTCCCTCATTTGTCATAACTAGAATGTGCCTATAAATCTACAAGTAAACCCAGTAGACAGTAAGGGACAAATAATTACACCTGGGCATGATTAATTAAACAGCAATCTAAACGTTCACACAGGGAGAACAAAGGAGGGTATTTTTAGGAGAGGATCACTAGGGCTCAGTAGCTCTGCATGTAAGATCATATAAAATGATGCTTATTTAAATGAATTCCAAGAAATGGAAGTAAGAGGTTTTTTATCATACTGTTAGGGGTTTTGTTTTCTTTTCTTCTTTCCTTTTTTTCCCCCCTTTGGTTTATTCCCTTGTGTCACTGTTTTTGATTTCTGTACCCTTGGTCATGTATGTAAATTTATCTAATTTGGGGAGAGGAAGGGAAAGCACAAAAAACAGTGGGGCAAAGGGGGTACCAGACCCTTTATTGGAAATGAACTATATAACTTTGAGGGGAGAGAGACTGGATGGGAAAAACTGGGAGAGAATGAGGGAGGGGGTAACACTGTCCAAAAGGAAATGTACTCATTGCCTGACCCATGTAACTATAACCCATCTGTACATCACCTTTACAATAAAATTTAAAAAATAAAGAAAATAGGGGGCGAAGGAGATTTCATGAGCTTTCCTAGATCATATCTTAACAAATCAACAGATTCTTCTTCTGACCCTGCTACTGACAGTTATTTATCTAACCACTCTGTTCTGAGGATCCATTTGCATGATTATTATGATGATGATGATGATGGTTTAAAGCTGATAGCAGTGATCAGATAATTTGATGGGTGTTATCAGCTACCATTAATATTAAAACATTGCTCAAACTGGCCACAAAACAAACTTGGCTGTTCACAGAACGTGGCAGCTTCTCTGTTCATGTGTCTGTCTTCCGTAGGGTTGGCAAAGCGTGTGGGTGCTCGTCTGCTCCTGGCTTCCACGTCAGAAGTTTATGGAGGTGAGTGAGTGGGGCTCTTGTTGAGGGTTGGGGTGTTCCACGGTCACATCAGCCTGTTTGCCTTTAGCTTACGTACAGAAGGAACCAGAGCTCAGAATGTGTGTGATGGCTGTCTGACTCTCCTCCAAAATCACATAGCTCCTCCACTAGGCCTGGTTCCATAGAAGTGATTTTTCTATTCTGCTTTCAAAGTTCCCCAGACACGACATTCACTATAAAGCTTTTGCCTCTTTGGTTGGCATACACTATAACTAAGAGCAGTACTTGCTGTTGTGTGGCCTTTAGAGCTTTCTGACAACAAGCATGTGCTGATTGCCTGTCTCATCTGTTGTACATTTCTGGGAGAACCTTAAATAGGGAATTTCAGTATACTCCAGAACCTCCATCCATCATCCTTCCCAGTACACCTCACACTTGGGAACTTGTGGGAGGAATGGGAAAATGAGCTATCAGTCTACCTTGGTTCTTATTCATCCCCACACCAACCAGGTGCAGGTTTGGGAGAATTGTTCAGTTGACGCAATGGGAGCCAGTGCTTCCTTGGCATAATAATAGTTTCTGTACTCTCTTTTCCTTCCTTCCTTCCTTCCTTCCTTCCTTCCTTCCTTCCTTCCTTCCTTCCTTCCTTCCTTCCTTCCTCCCTCCCTTCCTTCCTCCCTTCCTTCCTTCCTTTTCTCTCTCTCTCTCTCTTCCTCTCCCTCCTTCCCTTCCCCTACTCCACCCATCTCTCTTTTTTTCTTTCTTGTCCCAATACTGGGGCTTGAAGTCAGGGCCTAACACTCTTGCTTGGCTTTTTTCACCCAAGGGTGCTACTATACTTGAGCCACAGCTGTATTTCTGGCTTTTTGCTGGTTAACTGGTGATAAGACTTTCACAGACTTTACTGCGTAGGATTGGCTTCTGACTGAAATGCTCAGACCTCAGCCTCCTAAGTAGCTAAGATTACAGACATGAGCTACCAGTGCTACCTGGCATATTTTCTCTATTTCACATTTTTTGTTCTTGATAAAAAAGAATGAGGAAATAGAAAGGTAAAATCAGAAGAGACACAATTTTAAAAGTAAGAACACCAAATATGTAGGAAGATATAGCAACAGGGAAATCCCACAAAATGTAGTAGTCTTTTTGCAACCCCTTCAGTGTATATAAGCCTGTTTTGAAGTGCCTGCCAGTTGAGGGCATTCTTCCACCTGTGTTCTCTGTCCAAAAGGCATGGGGACATCTTTTCCCCTCTTCTTCACTCATCCAAGTTATTGTTTGCATATTTGATAAGACTTGGTATCCTTTAGGGTTCTTAAATGAATTGAAGAGTTTAATTTTTAGAATTCACCCATTGCCTTATACTAATGATTGTTAATTCTTTGCGGATTTGTTTAGTCCATTAGCCTCACAAGATGTGGGTAAAGTGGGTGATGGTGAGAAACGTATCCAGAATCTGTTCATCCTCTATCTACGTACTTATCTATGTTCTTTTTGAGTTTGGTACTCATGATCCTCACCCCTCAGCTTGCTGGGCTCTGTGATTGTAGGCATGCACCACTGTACTTGCCTTGGAAATCACTTTTTATGAGACTTCTACTTTTACAATACGAAGTGGTTTCTAAAGTGATTTTGTGAGGAAACTTTTTAGAGTCCAGACAGTGCCTGTTGAGAGCCAAATGTGTACACCCAGCTTTTTCTTATCCTCTGCCATAAGTTTATATCCCATGCTGTTTAGGATCTAGCTTGTTCAACCCATGCCAAACCTCCCTAGAAAAAGATCTGGGATCAGTTATCTGCACAATCTTCTACATTGTCTTCGCCTTTTCTCCCATTGTGCACTGAAACCTTCACTTTTTCCTAAGGGAAATTTAAGCCACAACAGCAGAGGCCTCTGTGCAGAGCAGGGATATATTGCTACTGCTGCCTCCAGAAGGCCCTGCTGACTCAGGAGCCCATGATCACGAGGAACCTGGAACAGGCACAGATCAGCACTATGTGAATTTATAACAGAGTCTACATGTCCTTTTATCTGGATTTCAAAGCCTGTACCTTTTATCCTATGGTTGTATTTAAATTGGGTATGATGTTATCGGTATACTAGATAAACACTCCAAAATATATTAGTGCTCCAAAACAAGAGTTTGTTACCTGGTTACTTTAAATAGATAGTGACGTATGGTAAACAAGACCTGGGAATTCTGCTTATCTGTGACTGCTGCTTCCCTCTTCCTAACTGCCTAGGCTCCCCATCTTTGAATTCACTGTTGTTTAACCTCATTATGAGGCTCAGATTTGTTCTGGTAATGTGAAAACCATCCTGTTCTACATAGATGTTGCATTTTAAATTTGTTCCGTAAATACATACTTTTCCCTTATTGAACATTTTGTAAGTGTAAAAGTAAGCCATGCATTTCTTCATATAGTTAATCGAACAGCCCAAAAGTTAATGACAATTCATGGAAGAAAGAAAGATATTAAGAGGCTTTGATCCTTTTTGCTTTTTCTTGTAAGCTAATATCATATTTGATCAGTAGTAGAACATAGTGTCCCTCTAGAACTTGATAATAGGGCATAGAACACTGAGCTTCCTCTTTGATATTCCTCTCCAGTTCTAAATGTTTATATCAGTCCAGAGTCCTGTTTTGCTTCATAAATATGCATTGTTGCTAGTGCAGACAGACTTGGGGGAATGATGAACAGTTTCTTTTTGTTTTTCCTCCTACTGTAGATCCTGAAGTCCACCCTCAGTCTGAGGATTACTGGGGCCATGTGAATCCTATAGGACCCCGGGCCTGCTATGATGAGGGCAAACGTGTTGCAGAGACCATGTGCTATGCCTACATGAAGCAGGTATCCAACCATGCTTTGGGCTTATTCATTAGCTATGAAGGGTCCCCTTAGGTCAGACAGGAAACATCACAAAGAATTGAATACTGTGGCTAGTTGTGCCTGGGGTGGTTTGGGGGGAGGCCTAGTTGCCCACTACTAGAAGTTAATGGTATTATCAACAATTTTTCCCATGTATCTCCTTATGTTGGAAATGGATCCTTGAGGTGAGTTCTTAGGTTTCAATACTGTAAGTAGTTATGAACAGTTCTCTTTGTGTGTGTGTGTGTGTGTGTGTGTGTGTGTGTATGTATGTGTGTATGCATGTGAGCATGCATGCACTGGTACTGATGCGTCGAACTCAGTGCAGTGTCCCTGAGCTTTTGTGCTCTAGGCTAGTTCTCTACCATTTTGAGCTACATATCCATTTCCTGCTTTTTTTTGTGTGTGTGTGTGTGGTGGTGGTTTTGGGGCTTGAACTCAGGGCCTGGGTACTGTCCCTGGGCTCTTTGGCTCAACGCTAGCAATCTGCCACTTTAAGCCACAGCATTACACCTAGTATATGAGTGGTTAATTAGAGATAAGAGTTTCACAGGGACTTTCTGCCTAGGCTGGCTTCGAATCACAGTCTTCGGATGTCAGCCTCCTGAGTAGTTTTAAAATTTTTCCTGAAGCTAGGCACCGATGGCTTACGCCTGTAATTCTAGCTATTCAGGAGGCTGAGATCTAAGGATCACGGTTCAAAGCCAGCCCAGGCAGGAAAGTTCGTGAGACTCTTATCTCCAATATACCACCAAAAAACTGGAAGTGGCGCTGTGGCTCAAGTGGGTGAGCGCTTGCCTTGAGCTCAAGAGCTGAGGGACAGCGCCCAGGCCCAGAGTTCAGGCCCCAAGACTGACAAAAAAAAAAATTGTTCCATAAATACATGCTTTTACCCAGTTGTACATTTTTTTTTTTTGGGGTCCGGTCATGGGGCCTGAACTCTGGGTCTGGGCACTGTCCCTCAGCTCTTCAGCTCAAGGCTAGCACTCTACCACTTGAGCCACAGCACCACTTCTGGCTTCTTTCTTTTTGCTTATGTGGTGCTGAGGAATCGAACCCAGGGCCTCAGGCATGCAAGGCAAGCGCTCTACCACTGAGCCATCTTCCCAGCCCCCCCAGTTGTACATTTTATAAGTACAAAAGTAAGCCACTAGTGCTTGCCTCATTTCTGGCTTTTTTGGTGGTTAATTGGAGATAAGAGTTTTACAGACGTTTCTGCCTGGGTTGGCTTTGAACTGTGACCCTCAGATCTCAGCTTCCTGAATAGCTAGGATTATAGATGTGACTCCACTGGTACCAGGTTCATTCATGGAGTTTTGTCTCTTTGGAGTAAGATTGAACTTGTTTTTACCTAACCTCAACCTCTTAAGTGACTTACTTGTATTAGTTATATTTCTTATTCATATTATTTACATGCTTTATTATTCACCAGTGTGCTGGGTGCTTCTGCCATGAATAATTTAGTACCCATGTGCTGTAGCGAAAGTTGCACACAGAACAAGCTTCCTATAACTGGCTCTGTCCCTGTGTGATCTGGAGACATTACATGGGCCTTCTCTTTAATTTCTGGCTTATCATGTCTGCCCTACCTGCCTGGGGCAGGGTCCTTCTGTGTCTTTTCTCAGCCTGTGTGTCGCTCTTTTGCCAGAGTCTCCTTAGAGACATATCCTGTATTGATGAGGGACACAAGGAAATAAATGTGGAGATGCAGTATTGTCCCAGGACAGGTCCTGCCTCCAGGTTAGCTGGGTACACTGAGAGACAGCAGGGCTATGTCAGAACATGTCTGAGGCAAGGCAAAGCAAGACTTCCAGTCTTTGACTGCTCTGTGCAGGCAGTCAGACCTTCTGTCTCAAAGAACTGAAGACGATGACATAATGTCAAGCCACACAGGCTGCCTCTTTATTGTGAGGGAGGGGTCTTCTTCACCATTTATTTATTTATTTAAGTAGTTGTACAAAGGGGCTTTAATTCAACATGTCAGGTTATGAGCACAATACTCTTTCTTAGTGACATACTAACATAAATGGTCCATAAAATAAACCATTGTGTCTGGGCGCTGGTGGCTCACATTTGTGATCCTAGCTATTAAGGAGACTGAGATCTGAAGATCACGGTTTGAAGCCAGTCAGGGCAGCAAAGTCCTTGTGAGACTCTTATCTCCAATTACCACTCAAAACTGGAAGTAGAGCTGTGGCTCAAAGTGGTAGAATGCTAACCTTGAGAAAAAGAACTCAAGGACAGCGGTCAGCCCTGAGTTCAAGCCCCACAACCAAAAAACAGACGAACAAAAAACCCATTCCATTGTGCTGGTGGAGGTATTTAGACCTCTCTCCATTCTCTACCGCAGGAGATTTGATTGCTTTTCAAGTCCCTTTGGACTGTTGTCTTATATTAGCAACTTTTTCTCAGAGTATCATTCTTAGGAAGAATGTACACTTATCATTTTTAAGCCCAGATTATTTAGACCTAAAATTGAGATGCTCTCACGCACCCACAGGGCAACCTCTGTGCTTATGGGAAGTGACCTGAGCATAGTAAGGGAAAGAACACGTAAATGGATTCTACTGAGGGAAAGAAATGCATCCCCGCTCTGTCTTCTAGTCTTACAACAGCTGTATCTTATTTAGTGAATCATCACGTAAGTACAAGCTGGTAGGCCATGTTGATTGAAACTTTTTAAGTTTTATTAAATGACTTACAATTGAGCTTAGTTGATAATTTTCTCATTATGCATATCCTTTAAGAATGAACTTATGACAGTTATTCAGTTATATAGTTACACAGTTTAGTAACAGTGGAGCCAGTGGTTATTGAGTGAGCACTGACTACGTGCCAAGCCGTCTCTCAGTATGCCGCTGACCCCTGAATACTGGGCCATTCTTATCATACTTTAGGCTTCACGAAATAGCAGCTCCAGAACTCAGCACTTCCATTCTGCTTGCTTTGTCTTGGGTTTGACTGCATGTCGGGCAGAGCTCTGGAAAATGTAACAGAATGTAACCCTGTGTGCAAAGTTGGTCCTCATGCCTATGACTAAGGATCCCTGACGAGAACCCCATCAGAAGGTGGTCCTACCCAGCGAGGACCATCTCTGGCACAGTGTTTCTTCTCTGAATCACCAGGCCTCCCACCCAGGAGAGCCACAGACAAACGTGGTATAACTGTAACAGTCCTGGCCATAGCCAACCTCACCTGTCAGTAGGACATAGTAGCTCCTACTTGTGGGAATATCACCCACAACATTTCCTGTTACAGAACTGGGCTTAGGAATTGCCCTGTGGAAGACAGACTCAGCACTCTTTGGATAAAAGATGGTGGAACTTAGGATCTTGGCTGTCAGGTTGGATAGTCTGCAGTACTATAGATCATATCACTCTGTTTAGCACACCTGGTCAAGGACCCATGTCTGCACAGGTGAGCAATGCCATTCCTGTCATCCTGGAGATAACACTGTGAAGACTGCCTGAGTGTGCATCAGGACTTGTTGGCAAGTGCAGTGTAGCATCCTGTCCTCACAAAACCTGGCCCATTCCCCCGTCTGGTCATTAGGTCAAGGAATGATGTGAGCCCGGCTTCGGTGGGCCAGAATCCCATCCGGTTCTGCTAGCAATAGGCAGACAGGGGAGATTGTGGCTTTCTGAAGAGGAAGGTGATAGAGCCAAGAATCAGGCCAGGGCGGATATCATAGTGACCTTTAACCAAGTTCTCACAGGTCTACAAGGAAGGCATGATATAAACTTCCAACCTTTTATTCCTGTTTTCTGAGTTGTAAATATTGGGCTCCCTCACCGGAGTCTCTGGCAGGGCTCTGAATGACACACACCTCAGAATTAGTGCTGAAGAGGAAGGGAAACAGTTTTTCCTCTCTGTACAGAACAGAGGCCACACAGTTAAGCAGGATGTTTTGTTGTTGTACAAACAAGAAAACAAAGATAAACCACAACAAAGAATAGTTGTTACTCATAATGCCGTCTAGAGACAGAGAAAAGCAGGGAAAATAGATGAGGCAAACCCACTATGTGAAGACGTTGAAGACTTTTAAACATTGAAAACTTGGAGATCATTCTGTAGCTCTGGATTTCCAGTTAGCACTAGTGAAGTTGGGTCTGAGCCTTGCTGGGCTTGCCTTGTGGGTGTGGCTTAATCTTGCCTTCTCTGTGTTCAGACTTGCTTTCTGAGACTGTGACATGTCCATTTCAGTATATGTCTTGTTTATTGAGCTTAGACCCCTGCAGGGCACTATGACAATGTGCTTGCCCAGTGTGCCACTGTATGGAGGTATTATGTGAGGTTGTGCTACGTGTCTGGAGTGGCTATTACAGAGGAGCAGGTGATGAGGACATGCTCTTTCCTTACACTCTGTTGAAATGGTTAACCCATGTTACAGATGGGAAAGTGGGATCTAAAACGTTGTTTTCAGCTCTCTGGCCCATTGGTGGGGCTGGCTACCCAAAGAGCATGTCCTCTTCTCCGTTGGCTGTTCTGGTGAGCTGTTGTAGGTAAGGAAACCGTACTGAAAGGAAGAATCCCAGAGCTCAGAGGTGCAGCTGCCATCCCCATTACCAATTCCCCCTAGACAAGGAGATGAATCCACAGGTAGCTGCAGTGACCTTGTCAGGTTTGAGATGATTTTAGAAAAAAAAATTAACATTTTATTATTGGGGTTTATGATATCGAGACAAATGAAATCAATTAGAAAAGTGACCCAACTACAATATAGTATGCCTTTGACATATTGTTAATTTGTTGTAATAACTTAGTTTTTTATTTTTTTAATATATCAGGACATATCTCCTCTTTGGTAATAATTGTCATTTTTTGAAGATCTTTGATGGTTTATGGGTGTGTTTTATGCTAGGTAAATATAATATATAAGGAAATATATATATATAGCTAAAATGAAAATAGGACAAATAAAAGTACGTGTATGTGTGTGTGCATGCATGTGTGTATATATGCATGTGCGTACATATGCCAGT